AATTGTTGGAAAAAATACATGTTGAAATCAAAGACAATAAGAGTTACCGTAGCATATTAATCAAGATTCATCCCCCTCAGTTGTGTCGTGCCACTACCATTACATATATCCTAGTGACACACCCCCAAGGTTTTTGACACAACAACCTATGTAATTTGTATATCCGAACTCGGGGTAGGAATTGCTCAAGAACTGTTTAGATCTCAAAAGGTAGCTATATCTAGGTTTGTGTTTATGTGTTTGGATTTCAAATAAATGAACAATTCAGAAGAAGAAGGTGACACTCGTATTTACATATGCTCCAAAATAGGAAGCAAATTATAAAAAAGAAGATGCATGCATTTTGCTGGCATGAGTAGTAAATTTCTTTAAGCAATCATGAGGGGTATTACACCCATCCCCACCCCACCCCCATAACAACGGGTACAATATCCACATCCATATCCTCCCCGCCGTGTACAAGATAGGATCCATCCCCGCCCCATACCCACCCCATATTTGCTCTAAAACCATCCCAAACCCACTGTCATGATGTTCTATTGTATCACATTAATGACAATTATATCAAATTATGATTAAAAAATTGAAACTCTTATTGTTTGGGCGAATTGGGCCTTAAAGGGTATCAAGTTTCATAAATTCTAAGTTATTCTGAATAATTCTTTATGGCTACACTCCCCTTTAGCCAAACATGCCTACACCCCCCACTATATTACCAAAATGACCCTTCTAGATAACCCCACATATATATATACTGTATAAATTAATAAAATAAAATAAAAAATTATACTCTTCATCTCCAATTTTCTCTCTCATCCTAAACTCTAAAACTTCAACAATAGTGGACAACTGGACATTGTAGACGAAATCAAACAATCAAAGCAAATTTTCTCTCTCCTCCCCTTTTCTCTCTTCTAGTCTACTTCATGTTGGATTATTTTTTTATTTCGAGAAAGTTAGTATTAACGGGAGGCAATTTCAGCAAATTAATTGTTTTAATTTCTTTTTTTGAAGCATCTCAATCTCATATTTAACTGTAGCAAAATTATTCATGGTAAAAATTGTAGTAAAATAAAATGAATTTGCAATAGAAGTTTTGATTATATTATTGTTTTTGTACTCTTTAATTATTTGTAATTTTGTAAAAGGATTATTTGTTTGTATTTGCTAAGTTTTTCTTTTTGGTGATATAATTATTTGGTATACTATTATATCTTTCTGGTTGTTTTGGATTGATTTTTTTTTTTTTTTTTATCAAATTAGTATATATATAATTGTTCAAGTAAATCATGTGTGTTCACATTGAAAAAGCGGCATTATGTTCATTAGTTGATGATATAATGTTCATATTTATTACAAAAAGTGATTAATGACCACTTTTTCTTTATGAGCTTCATGAGCACCTTTGCATAATCTGTCAATTACTTTTTAATCGTATGAAATTTGATGTTCAATTTGAGATAACTTATAGTTCATTTTGAGATAACTTAATGCTCATTTTGAGATAACTTAATGTCCGGTTTAAGATAATTTGTTGTTAATTTATTTTAATGTCAAATGATAATACGTATTAAGTAATAACGTGTTGAAAATTATTGAACTTTTATTTTGTGGAAACCAAATGTTGATTATAAAACTAAATTATGTTTAAAATTAATAGTAAAAAAATTGTGCACAAAGATACTACGAGTAGTATATAGCTTGATCAATTTCTTAGGATTAATTATAGAAATCTAAAATTAGTTCACGATGTAAAATTTTTTTGATGAATGTTCATTTTAATTTACATAAAAGTTCATTTATATACTTCCTTATGTTCGTATTTCATGCAACTTCGGTAAATAATTTGTGAGATATAATAAATTTCAAATTAAAGTACAAATAATATGAACTGGAAGTAGTATTAAATTTTATTATATGTTCATATTTTTACCGAAAGATGTTAAAAATAACACAAAACACTATGGTAACCCACATCCTACAAAATAGACAACTAGCTAGTAGTATAAATATAATGCTCATATTAAAAATGCAAAATGTTCATAAACAAAAACCTAAATGTTCAATAAGATATCCCAAGAATAGAATAAAGTAGGTAGATTAGGATTGATTATCTTTAGGGGAAGTAGTGCCTAAAATGTCGCTTTGTGACTTATCTTCATAAGAATAACCAAACAGGTATCTTAAGAAGAAATTGGGTAATTCATTTTCAAAATTATTTATGTTCATTTGCATAATGATAAATGTTCATTTTCATATTGAGACATGATCATTTTCATAATAATGATAAATGTTCAATCATTTTCACATGTTATGAACAATTGAACATGTATATGATAATTTCAGCTGTAATCAATATTTTTTCCATAAACATCTGTCATTCCTCTCAATTACTTTCAATAATGAGAATAAAAATATACATTTATACATTTTTTCTTCTATAATAATGCTTTGCCATTAAATGGTCGATTATAAATAATTATATGTTCATTTACAACCATTAAAAAAAATACGTTCATTTTAAAATTATTATATGTTCAATAATAAAAATTTTACGAGTATGCTCTTTATAAAAAATGAAAAATAATTATGTACTTCTCCTTAAAACCAAAAGTAAGTTTCATCATCAATTGTGGTTTAAATTTCATTTTTTTCCCCTTCTCAATCCTTTGCATTTCCCTCCTCTAAAACCACAAGATTTATTAGTAATAATTTATATTTTGTTTATTACCATCTTTAAAAAAGAAACCGATCACATATTGCTCATTCATCATAGATATTTAGTAGAGCTCTAGTTCCTTTGTATAAAATATTGATACATATGCAATCTTGCTCTAGTGATGTTAGAGGGAATACTGATTTATGGCCATTCACTTATTAATAAATAAATGTTCATTTAGATTGTGATTTATGATCATATTTACATCCATAAATGTTCATTATTGTATTGAGAGTTGTTTATAATTGTTTATAGCATGTCATACTTGTTCTGATTTATTTTTTGATATTTTATTTTATAGAATTATTAATTAAAGAAGCTAAAACTGACACAAATACTATGCTAAGCTCAAAATTTTCAAGGAAAATGTGTGAGAACATTAGATTAAGGGTGCAACAAGAATGATAGTTTTATATTATAAAATGTATTTAATTTTAAACTATGTATGTACAATTGACAAGTATGTTCCCTTTTACACTTAAAAACACAATTATAAATAACGAAAATTTCACCAAATGCCACTGACAAATTTAAAAATTCACCAAATGCCATCGCACTTTTCAGAATTCACCAAATGCCACTCAGTTTTTAAATAATTTACCGAGTGCCATTAATGACTACCAGAGGCTTAATCATGACACATGACAATCGATTATTGGTTTAAAAAATATAAATAAAATAAAATTAAAATAACTCTAATTCCTAACCCAACCCAACCCAACCCCACCACCGTAACACCTGCCTAAGCCAACCGACGACCCAAAGCCAACCGCCGGAACTCCTTGACCTCCTGCAGGAACCCTCTAACCTTCCGTCGGAACCCGCCGGAACCCCTGACGTCCCGCTGGAACCCCTTGACCCCATCAAAACCGTCGACTCCTCTTAATCCCCCGAAAAACCACCGCAACCATTTCACGCTATGCCCAAAACTCTGCCTACTCGACTCCAGCACCCACACACTGACCCACAAAACGCTGTTTACCCGACGACCTTGCGCTGATGCCCACCCCAACCCCCGCAACCACCTCACGCACCAACACGACGCATCACATAGCCACCACAACCGACCATGGAAATTCAGAATAGAACCCGACTGTGGAAACCCTTCACCCTCAAACGACCGAAATCAACCATGGAATTCTACAATGGTCGATTTCTATGGTCGATTTCATCGTTTCAAGGGTGGAGGATAGGAGGAGTGGTTTTGCGTGGTGGTTGGAAAACGCTGGGTGTTTAAATCAAAGCTTATGTTGGTGGTATTTGGGGTCGGGGCTGGTTGTGTGGGTGGTTTTGGGAGTCGGCGGTGGGTCAGGTGGAGTACTTAAGGGCCGATCGACCGTTTTTTTGGTGGTTAAGGGGGTGGCCGGCTGTTTTCCGGCGAGAAAAGGGGAGGGGGCTAGGGTTTGGCGGTGGTGGGAAGGTGGCTAGGAAAATATTGTTTTTATTTTATTTTTTATTTTTTTATTTTAATTTTATGAATTAAAATAAATAGACTAATCATATCATGGCATGTGTCATGATTAGACCCTAATGACTAACGGAGTTAACGACCGTTAGTCATTAATGGCACTTGGTAAATTATTTAAAAGCTGAGTGGCATTTGGTGAATTATGAAAAGTCCGATGACATTTGGTGAATTTTTAAATTTGTTAGTGGCATTTGGTGAAATAGCCGTATAAATAATATTTAGAATAACTTCATTATTGTGATTGAGTTATTATTAACTTTATTATTGTGATTGAGTCAATAATATTCAATCAAAATAGTGTGTAAATTAACCAAATAATAAATTGTAATTTAAAAACACATTTTAGAATCACAAATACAAAAAATAAATTAATTTAGATGTTATATTATGTATTAACACAATTGAACATGTATGGATACAAAATTGAACATTTACTACCATGGAAATGAACATTTTATAGATGATGACTTGAAACTGAAAACAACACGATGACATCATCATGACAGAAAGGGGGCGCAGGCAGTGCTACCTACATAGGAATGTAGGTAAAAATTTATATGGGCCAGGTATAGGGCGAGGTGGAGCGGGTCTACTCTAACATCAATACCCGCCCCATTCACCATGGGAGGTACACATTTTATACCCATTCCGCCCATCATCCGTTAAACCACTACAATCGCTAATGCTAAGTATTGATGTCTCGTGATCTGACTACAAGATTCGGCTCTATTCAGCTCACTTCAGTTCAGTTCAACTCAACTCAATTTACTTCAATAAATTAGAAACGGCCCTAACTCTCAAACCATACAAAGAAGGCCAAAGCCCAAAGGCATCTCCCTATAGCACGTGTCAAGTCACTCCCAAGTGTCACCCCAACCTTAACGTTTTCTTCCACCGCAATCCAACGTTTTTTTTTTTCTAACACTTTGTTTCGAACCCCAGTTTTTGCTCTCCTCTAGCTTGTGCAACAATGAAGGAACTTTCAGCAGCAGAAACAAACCAACTTCTTGAAGCAGCAACTGATTTCGCCTTTTATCCTGGTAATTTCTGCTTTCTATAATTTTGCTCCTAAATTGTTTTGTTTATTTTTTGCGTCTAATTACAAATTTCGAAATTTGAATGCAGGTATACTCAACGAAGCTTCAGTGAAGGAATTTCTTGATCGTTTTCCTCTTCCATTCATCATTAAGTAAGAATTAATAACTAAATTCCTTGTTCCTTTTCTTAATTTATCGATTTTCGGGTGAATTTTTTTATTTTAATTCTTAATTTTTTGGTTATAATTTTTTTATTTTAATTCTTAATTTTTTGGTTGAATTTCATTATTTTAATTCTTAATTTTTTGGTTATAATTCCTTTTCTTAATTCCTTTTCTTAATTTAACACGTGTTTGACGTATAATTAATAATTAGTGATGTGAAAATTTGCTTATTTACTTAATTAAGATAAATTTGGATGAAACTTTTGATATGAAATACGAAGTAATTGTTTTATTACTAAAACTTAAAAGGAAAAAAAGAATGAGGGTAGAATTGTGAAAAAAGATAAAGGAATTTAGATACGTATATATACATGAAGATTGTAGGATATGAAATGACATATTGGTTTAAGTTATACTACCTCTATTACATATCATTTGCAACAATTAGACATTTTTCCTCTCTAGTTTATGTCAAATCGTTGCAAATAATATGTAACGGAGGTAGTATTTTAAGTCTATTGGTTGAAAAGACAATTTTTATATAATTCAATTCATATGTTTATGTGATATATATTAATTGGTTCAACTTTATTTTATTATGATGGAAATGAAACACTTCATTTTCTTAATTGAATTTGCTAGTTATAGAATGTATTAAAACTTAAACAAAAAGATCAAAAGGGGTGACATGTGTCATATGTGGTAGTGAGTGAGTTGTGATGACACGTGTCATATGAAAAATTATGGTTTGTGTTTTTAAATACTAAGTATAGATTTCTTGGTAATCAAGCAATTATGCCTTAAAAAATTAAAAATCAGAAGAGGGTAAAATTATGTATTTGCTCTTTGGATTTTTTTAGTTTAAGTTATATAGCCATTACAGCTTATACTCGGGAATGATAAATTTGTTTATGAATATTATTATGTTTTACAATGTAATGAAATATACCATTGTTAGGTTTGTTTTGAAAAAGTACTTTATTTTTTTATGTAAGTTGTCATTTATTTGGTTTTGCTGAATGCTAATAATTTAAGAGAATGATGGTGTAAATATTGATGCTCGTATCGTAAGATCATATAAGCTTAACTTTGGATGGAGTTATGGAGGGATAACTCTTATTTGATGTTGGCCCTGTAACAGCTTGAATTTCGTTCTGTCGGATTTTTGAAGTTCTCCCTTTTGTTTTTTCCTTTTGGATTTGTGAGAAGAATAGCGTGTTGACTGTTGAGCTGATTGTTGAAAGTTTCTTTGACGAAGTTTATTCACTAATTACTACAATATTTGGTATGAATTTGGAGCTAAGGTGAGGGACTGAGGGGGCATAGGAAAATAAAATTGAATTAGTTATACATAAATTCTTACAGCCATCGATAGGATGTAGGTGATTTGGAATAAAGGGTTGAACTTGTGATTAAGATTAGGATATGCTGTAGGGTGATGAGTGTGTATGTATGTGTGTTTCTGTATAGGTTGAATATTGTGGGGACTTTCCTGTTTAAGTAGTTTTAGCAAATCTGACCTAAGGTGTCCAAATTGAATTGTTTATAACCGTACATCTTTTACTTGTCAAAATGGTGGTGATGAAAGACACTTGATCTGTTAGATGAACCGGAGTCTATTTTATGTTTCTATATAATTATCTTATTGATCTATTCTTCTGATAGGGGCAATAGCTTTTCCATGTAGGCTCATTAATATTATTTCCGTCTCAATGCAGTGCCTTGCAGACTAAAGCGGTGGTGCCTGGATTGGAAAATGCCTTGGTTAATTGTCTAGAAAGAATATTTAGAACAAAATATGGTTCCTCTCTTATCCCGCAATATATGGTACGTGTGCATTAAAAATCATCATGTGCATGCAACAAGACTTCCCAACTTTGTAGGGAATTTTTTACAATTACATGCTAAATATAGAAATTTAGACTTGATTCTTGTTGCCAGCCCTTGAGAGGATCAGCTCTGGCTTCAGGCCTTGCTAGCAGGAATAGCCACTCCTTGTATAAAACAAAAATGGACAAACAAGATATTTAGGTAATGCAGAGAAAGATGCAACAGGAATTTGGGTACTTGGCACTTCAAAAAATAAATCGAAGCCTTGGAAAAGTGGCATTGTGCATCTTCTTCCATTTTTCAGACTTTGGTTTCATTCTAATTGTTTTTAATTCACTTGGATATTCCTCTTAGGGAGAGATTAAGTTCTTTTAACTAAGCATAGGCTTGAGTAATTCAAGTTTATCTGTTGTGGCAGCTGGCAAGTATTAGTGCAATTTTTTTTGGAATTTGTTTTTTTTCGGGGAGCTTTCTTCTTACCAAACCTTGGTGGGACCAGCCCATTTTTTTAAAACTCAGGCCTGTTAACATCACTAGGACTATCCAGTTGGGATGAAGGCTTAAAGGGGGGAGTGGGGCTCCCTACCCGTCTTTACAAAAATCCGCTTATATCTCTGAAGAAATTATGGTAAATTGAGGTGATACCGGTATAGATACAAATCCTCGGAAAATTACTATGTGAACTAGGCATTCAAAGAAAAACTCGTGGCTTTTCTAGAAACAAAGTTCTCCCTTAATTTTGTTACCTGTTACTCCCTCTATCCCCAATTGTTTGCCCCAAACCATAAATTCACTTTATTAAGGCTTTGGGCAAAAAATGATGCACATAGGCTGTCACAAATATCAATGAGGAGAGAGATAGACAGAGTGCAAGTGGGAAAACATGCCAAAAGTAGTATGGGGCAATCTTTTGGGGACACCTTAAAAAGGAAAGTGGACTAGTGGAGCAAACAATTAGGGACAGAGTTAGTACTTGTTTGGAACTACAAAATTAGTGTGAATTATCCATGAGTCTGTTCTTCAACATTGATCTTAGAACTTGATCGTGTAATAAGCTCAAGCTGTTTTTGTTATCCTTGATTCATTGCTTGGTAATTTTTGTACTTAATAGCTCTTTAGGCATCCTTATTTACACTTAATATGACTCCTTTTACTGCAGTCTTTATTGCAAGTCGGTCTACAAGCAGATTCTGAAGCAGTTAGATGTTTGACTTGCAAAATAGTATGTAAACCTCCACTTCCCCTCCCCCCTCCCTTCTTCAATTCTAAAGCAGACTCTTTTTTTTTGCTGTTTGGCTGCTGTCTGTTAGTATATGTGGAAAACAAAAATTTGGAACTAGCTGTGTTTGCAGGATGAAATTTTGAAAAAATTGGAATAACTTAGGCACTAATATATAATCTTTTATTATAATCTTTATCTCTGTGGTGGTGTCTAAATTTTCTTAGGATTGTTTTTATTTCAAGTATACTTTTTCTATCAATGAATGTTGCTCCTCGATTTTCATGCAGGTCTCTTTTCTTTTTGAGGATTTAAATGACAAATCTGTCCACCCATCTCAGTTGATAATTACATACAATATATATCCCCTGCTACTTCTTTGCCTTGTTAATGGGTAAGCTATCTATATATGGTTATAGCAATTGTTATTGCCACCTGTATTTCTGTGTTGGAAATTTACTCATTTATACTGAGATGCGTGGAAAATATACTTATAGATTAGATGAGATGTAGCCAAAATGGTATGGATGATAGCTCTAGCTATATGTGCAAAGTTAGCATGCGCAGAAAAGGCTTGGTTATTTCCAAAGTTAGGAATCCATATACTTGTGAGGTGTGACAGAGTTATTCTAACTCGTTTAATTTGAAAGAAAACAGTTTAATCTTGGAGTTAAAAGGGGCAACCTAGAAACCTATGCTCACTGGGAAAGTGTAATTTTCTGAATTGCTAGTCCACTTGGCATAGTTGTTCCCATCTTATCTTATCGTGTTTTGTCATAGAGATTAGTGTTTCTTTAATGTTATTATGGTACCTTCTTCATTTACGCTGGGCTTAGTAGTAGTTTAAGTAAACTGGAGATTGCTAATCCTTGTTTTGAAAATATTTTGTGCATCTTCATATAGTTGATAGTGGGTAACCAAGTAGCTATTTTTCTGATATGACTCCCTCATGCCTATGAATCGGAAATCATCTCCAGCTTTAAGCAGGGAATTTAAGGACATTAAGGGAATTATTTGGTATTATTTGTTGTCACTTAACTTTTGTTGAGCTATGTGGCTATGCCTTATTTTGGTTACCTTGGTATCATTGCACTAGTGGCTATAACTTAAATCCCTAGACATGGAAGACTAGCTTTGCGTTATTGTTTACAATAATACGGTTATATATTCTCCTAAAAATATAAAGTATTATTAAGGGTGGATTTTCCTTACCTTAAAAAAAGGTTTTGGGTCTAATAAGTTTTGAGAAGTTCTTATCAAGTCATTTAAATTCCATTTAGTTTAATTCAGTCCAGTAAGTTTAAATTAGGTCTTACAACTTTAAATCAAGTTCCTATATATTAATATGGAATATTATTATATTCATACTACCTTTGTTTTTTTTAGTTGACACATTCTGTTTACGGATTTTTTTTTTTTAGTTGACATGTTTCTATTTTAGGCATATTTTCTATTGTGAATGGTCAATTTTACCCTTATTCTTAGTCTCTCTCCTCCCTCATATTAGACTAATCTCTTTCCTCTCTCACACCTGACCCATAAACAGATCACCCACATTGCACCTCATTCCTCACCACCACCACCACTACTCGATCGCCTCTTTCTCTCACCTCCTTCCACCGCATCATACCACGACCATCACCGCTGGATATAACCTCCTCTTTTGCCTCAACACTATAGAACCCTTGTCAACACCACCATCACTACTAGTCGGTAGGACTAGTAATTTCATCCCCGCATGACAAAGTGTAGATATAGGGTTTTTATTTTTTATTTATTTATTTTTTTTTTGTTAAAAAAAAAATAATTACTGAAACATTGATTGCAACATCAATTTTTTCATCCTTTGTCGTAGTCTACTTTTTCGATTTGAGATCTTAAGGTAGTAGCAGTGACGAAGTGACGAATTGATGATTGGGACTTGAGGTTGTAAATGCTATTGGATCTTATGTGATTTTGTGGGCTTTATGTGATGAAGATGGTGACGAATGTATGGGTGGTGCCGAAAAAGTACATCAAGGTGGTGGTGGAGTAGAATTCATTGATATAGGTGGGACGGGCTGATGGTAGCTCACAAGGCTGGTCAGTAGATGGAGGAAGGAAAGAGGAGATTAAGTAGGGGTATTATTGTCTTTCACATGTTTATCTCACTTTTCTAAAAGTGTGTGTCTAAATTAAATGTGTCATCCAATCAATTCTAATACTATTTTTATTTTTTTTTATCTCTAATAGTTATGTCTCCCAAGTACCATATGATATTTGTAGCTACTGGTACCACTAGTGCATACTCTTTTTTAATTTTCAGTACTATTTAATTATTCAAGTAACATAAGAAAATCCTTTTTGTTTGACCTTTTTTTTAGTGTACACATTTGACTGTCAGTATATTCCAATTCTGTATTATTAAAATTACAAACAGTTTCTATTTTGAAACTACACAGTGAGACAAACTAAACAAGATCACACATTAATATGTTTTTGCTTATATTTTTTAGGAAAATTTGTCAAAAACAACCTTTTAAAGTGTCCACTTTATTTAAAACAACCTTTTAAATTTTTTTTTTGCAATTTCAGACCACATTATAATTTTTTTTTTATCAAAGACAACCAAATGCTACTTTCCGGCGTTTGACTCTATTTGTCCCGATGTTAACCACTAGTGTGCAACGCACATGAACTCGTATATTGCTTAATACACCAATTTTCACTCCAATTCACTCGTACTAAAAGAGGGATGAAAGAGAAGCAGAGGTTTTAATAGGAGTTAATTGGAGGAAAAAGGGGTGTATTAAGCAATGTAGGAGGTCACGTGACTCGCACACTCTGGTCAACATCGGCAAAAATTGAGTCAACGCCGGAAAGTAACATTTGGTTATCTTTGATAAAAAAATTTTATAATGTGGTCTTAAATTGCAAAAAAAAATTTAAAAGGTTGTTTTAAATAAAGTGGACACTTTAAAAGGTTGTTTTTGACAAATTTTCCTATTTTTTAATTACAAAAATTTCAAGATTAAGTTTATTCTCTCTTTGAGTTGAAATTTTAATATGAAACAAACAAAAGTTTTTTTTTTTTTTCTTTTTTCTTTGACCACTTACTGTGGATGTGTTGTTTCAGAAAGCTTTGAAAAAGATGGGTGGGTGTAAGAAAAAGTAAGAGAGGGTATGTAGAAATGTGTGTGGGTTTAAGATAAAGTGAAGTAGAGAGTTCAAAAAGATAGGTGGGCATAAGATAAAGTAAGAGATATAGTGTGGAAATGTGTAAATATTGTGGAAGAGTGGTATATTGGTAAAATAATGTGCCAAAAATGGAATATAAGTAAAGAAGTAGAATAAAAATAAAAACAAACATACAACTATAAACAAAGGGTGAGTGGAACAAAAAAGGAATAAAAACCATAATGGAGGTTTTGACAATTCCACTTTGGGTGCACGAGGATTACAAAATTGTTCCATTTTGGGTGCCTTATGGTTTACAAGGTTGTTTCATATATCTCACCCTAATATTATTGTCAATATTTTTGTCACACAATGATGTAGCACACACAAATTTTCTGTATGATAAATCTCTTTTAATTAACACTTAAATCAGGGTTTTAAAGCCCTTTCCTCTCCCTCTTTTTTCTTCGAATTTTTTTGCTATTTATGACCATTTTCCTTTAATTTATTATTATTTTTTGTTATTTTAATTTTGTATAAAGCAAATTGTTTCTTTGGTAAAGATTTATGTGAGATCGAAAAAGAAGTTAATCCTTAGAATACAATAATATGAAACCACTGCTATAACAAATTGATTTACCGAAGAAGTCCGTAAAACTAAGTGATATGAAATAGGGATGGAGAATGCTCTATTTGCATTGATAGTAGCGCTGCAAATTAGAAGTTCTATTTGATTCAATTTATTTTATTTAATTCAATTGTTATGTGTTTGTTAAATTTGAATCTTGCCGTATAGTTTTTATAAAAACAAATATATAAAATTAATAAAACATAGTGACCGTAAATTAAAACTGTTAACTTAATGATCTGGTGAGAAGCATGATTGTGTTGAGATTGTTCTTTTTGTTGTTTGCTGAGTGATATGCTTGGTGTAGCTAACCTGTCATTTCGAGGCCTATGCTTCACAATATAGTTGTTGTTAATGGATGCTGCTAAGCCTACTATAATGCTGTAGTAGAGGCTCTTTATTACAGCTTGCTTTTATTTATTTTTGTTCTTTATTCAAAACTATCTCCCATAATGATGGGCAATTTAGGAGGAGTACTTCTTTTGCTTTTCGTTTGTTTTTAGATGGCCTCATATTCTATATTCTATTCACCTTTTTACTTCTCCTTTTACTCATTCTTTGATGGGAAGCATCAATGAATTTTTATTCCTAACTCGTACTTCCTCTGTTTCGGAATAGATTCATCATTTCCCTAAAACAAAACTATTATAATGGATGCATCATTTCCCTAAAACAAGACTATTTTAATAGTTGAACCCTATCCTTAAAACATATCATAGTAATTGCACCATCTCTTTATTTGGTTAACCTTTATTTGGTTAACATGTCTGAATTACCTTATTTATTCCGCCCCAAAACATTAAAGTACCCTATCACCCATATGCTTACTAAAATTATAATAGTTGCACCATTTCACATGCTTTTTAATTTCCCTCCCTTGTGCCAAAAGTAGGAATGACAACAGGTCGTTGGATTCGGCTCGGATTATGCAAATCTTACTCCGATCTGACTAAAAATCCCACTATCCGACTCCTACTTTCAATTTTATTTTGACCCAATTCAATAGTATCCAAATGTATAATCAATCTATGTCAAAGACGTATAAATCCATAAGATGAATAATAAAATATATATAAGTACATTAAAAGTTAGTCGGATCATTATTTCTCGGATTCGGCTCGGTTTTTTTTTTTTTTTCTTCAATTGGACTTGACCCGAACTTAATTTCCATCCCTAGCTAAAAGGAAATAGTGTTACTATTCCAAAACAGAGGTAATATTTTATAAGAAAAATTAAGGATTAGTCCTCTGTAAGACCTCTATGTTATGATAATCTGAAGTGAGAAAGCTCTCTCAAACCCTACCTTTTTTTAGAAATTAAACTCTTACAGATGTAAGGACATTGCACTGTTTCATTCAACATACTTTCTTTTTTGTGATCTTCAGTGATGAACGTGTGGCAGCTGCTTCGATGGATGCTATCAAGAGTATTGCTTCTTCTTCAGAAGGAATTGTAAGAAATTGACTATAAGTTCATTTTAGCTTATAATATCTATAATGTATGGGTATTGTATTGTGTTTTATCATTTATCATATGGTCTGTTGTATTAACCAAGAAGTACCATACAGGCCACTATATTTCCAGCTGAGAGCAGTGAAGCTACAGACCTTAAGCATCTGGCTGCCAAATGTTCTTCGCTGGTAATGAAGCTATTATTTTACTTTTTTTCTCTTTGTTCATTCGACAGAGTGTATACTATAATGTTTTCCTTTAGTAAAACCAAATGCTTTCTACCTTGTGCGGAAAAATGTTCGATGGAGTGTATTTTTCTTCTCCTTTCACTCCCCATAAGTAAATTCATAGTAATTTATCTTGTACTCTTTGTTTATTGTTAGCATATATATATATATTAGACCTGATCAATGGGCCGGGCCAGGTTCGGGTCGGGCCGAGGCATAAAAATAGCCCATTTCTCGGGCCGGGTCGGGCCTAGCTTTGGGCCAAAAATTTCATGCCCAAACCCGCCCCAAAATGGACGGGCCGCGCGGGCTTTTTGGGCCATTTCAGGCCGGCCCAAAAATGAACTAAAATAGCTTAAAAATGCATTCCCAAGCCCGCCCAAAAATTAAAAATTCGGGTTGGGCCGGCCCAACCCGATTTCGGGCCGGAAAATGCTGCCCAAAACTGGGCCGGGCCAGCGGGCCGGGCTTGTTTTGATCAGCTCATATATATCGCATGAATTACTTATCCAACAAGAGACTTTCGATTCTCTTGGGCACATAGTTTTAGGGGAGTGTTTGTGGTGGGGTTTTGTTAAATATAAGTGAACCAAAAAAAAAGTGGGAATTTTCTATTTAATTCAGTTGTGGTGAGACTGTGAGAGAAAGAGGGGGGGGGGGGGGCTGTAATGCTTTACAGAAGTAGAGAGGAAATGAATGTAAAGAAATTGAGGAAAAGTAAAATATCATTATATTATGTACACCCAAGTCAAGAGAAATGGGAAGTATTTGTGGTAAAATTATTTAAAGAGAAATGAGAAGTTTTGTTGTGGGGTGTAGGGAGTTTTATCAGAAGGCAACTTTGTGGGTGTCTCAGTCTGTCTTACATCTTTCTTGCCAGATTGAGTAATTAGCTTCCTTATAATTGGCAGGATCTAACCTTCTCATAGTATAGACAATGGCACCAAGAATGGCTCTATTGATGATCGAAAAAAATTAAATAAAGAATTCAATTTATGGCCTAGACATAAATCAAAGAGCATGCAATCATGCATAGCTAAACTATGCATATTGAGGACACCATGGGTAGAAATATTGGGAATTTCATACTTCTTAGGAACATGCTAAAATATGGTGCTATATTATCGTATTACGCATATGCTAAAAGCTTACTTAGAGTGTATATATGAGAAAGCTGGGTGGTTCCTATCAAGGAGTTCTACTCCAATATCTTGAAAATTTCATTTAAAATCATTAAGGTACACTTATCAAGACGACCTCACTGGTAATTTGGGGTTTGATTGTTATATGCTAAATATAAATTTATATATGAGAAACGAATAAATAAATAGAAGTAGCCAAAAATCAGAGTTAGATGGTTCAACTCTTGAGGATTCTATGCTCTATCTCGTGAAAATTCCACATTAAATTTAAGGCTTCAAACAAAATCTTGATTCTATCACTTGAAAAAAGAGGACCTTGCTAATTATTATTATTACCACTAACTTGATGAGAACTATTATATCCAATTCCAAATACACCATTTGTCCTACTGATTTAAATATAAATCTTATCTAACCCAAATTACATAAAAGAGTCTCCCTGAATTTCTTTGCTGATAGAGGCATTGATATATTCCTATCTGTGAAGTTTTGAGCTCATATGGATCATAAGTTTAATATGAGAAATGAACCTTTAAGATTCAAGAACAAGAAGGAAATATATCTCACAGGGTTCTATTTTATATCTCAACCCATGACCAATATGAGTCTATAGTTGTTTTTGTAACTCCTAAAACGTCTTCATAGTGGATTTCTTCCACGATTCATTTCAGAAGATATTCTGATGTACAACAAATAATGTAAGAGTCTTTGTATTTTTTACAGTCGCAAAATTTGCTGCGAAGACACTAATTATGGCTGAGTGCAACAGCAAAACCTAACGCGGGTGCACCAGCTGCCGCAACCTGTGGACAAGGGTGAAAGGAGTGAAATACATGATGATGAAGAAAAATGGTTCGTTGGAATTTAGTGAATCTTTAATACTTTTTTTTTTTTAAAAAAACTTTTCCATTGTCCCAACTCCTCTGGTCCTTGCTTTCCTCTCCTTTCGTTCGTCATTTCTAACTCCCCGCTTTCCACCGTTGTTCATCAGCCCTATTCTTCATCGTCAAGCAAAAAATTTGCTATTTCACATGTTTTTTCTCAATCTTGTTGATTATGATAATTAACCAAATTTAGGGCCTGTTCACTTCACCTTAAAAAAATAATATTCAATAAAAATAATTTCAGTTCAGTAAAAATAAGTTCAGTTCAGTAAAAATAATTTTAGTTCAATAAAATTCAGTAATTTTAAAGAAGAAATATAGCTAAAAATTAGTAAAAATATTTCAGCTCAACAAAAATAATTACGGTTCAGTAAAATTAATTTCAGTTTAGTAAAAATAATTTAAGTTCAGCAAAAATAATTTCAGGTCTATAAAAATAATTTCAATTCAGCAAAAATGAGGTGAAGTGAACGGGGCCTTAATGTAATTTGCAACTCATAAACATTTCCCTGCATAAGATTTGGAATTTCTAAAATAAAAGGTTATCATTCTGTCTCTTTCAGTTCATTTTCTCTTCTGTTTCCCAAAAAAAAAAAGAAAAAGAAAAAAGTTCATCTTCTATTTAGACTCCATGGAAGACAACCACAAACACCACTTTCAGCTAACAAAATAAAGCAACCCATGAACCCTTTTAATATTTGAAGATTGAAACACATATGTGACAAGAATCAATATATTGTCTATCTGTTCTCAAAGAATTTTGAGCAGCCGGCAAAGGTATGACAAAAAGTCAACGACCCAACCAAATCTTTACCATTAACGAACTCTGTCAAGTAAACATTTTGCACATGAAAAGATCAATTTCCTTCAAAATTTTATATTTATCAACTCATTCACTTGACCTATTCTCCATTTTAAACGATTTTTACCAATTTTTTTAGTTACAATTTCAGTAAAAGTTTCTGTAATGTTCTTAATCAATAGGTTTTAGTTTATTAGCTAATGGTGTATATTTAAGTTCAATTCAACCTTAAAATCGTTAATGGTGGGATTTAAAAGGCATCTAGTATTTAATATTTCCGTACTCTGGTGGAAACTTGATTCTCCAGTCTCATTTATGTAGATTGTGCTGTTGGGTGCATCCTTATTAGATTGTGTTACTGGTCGCACCTTGGCTATATTTGGTGTTGTTGCGGCCAATTTTGCCTTTCATTTTTGGAATGTTTTTTCCCAAAATGAATTGTTTTTTCATATCTATTGTTGCACCATGAGTCTGTTATACTACATAATCATGTATCTATCCATGGGGACTTGTTTACGAGTGAGTGTGTTAACATCCATGATCATGCCAACTTGTCAAATTAAGCTAATGACCTAATGCTAATATGCTATATAAGCTTACAAAAAATAACTGAAACTATATTATGACATAAGCTAATGCTCTTGTGTCAGTTTTCATTGAAATATCTCACTGAAATGAACTTTGATATGTGTATTGAAGTGGAGAATGAACTCTGGAAATTTTGCGTTATTAGATTGTGTTACTGGTGGCACCTTGGCTATATTTGGTGTAAAGAACCTTTAAATTGAATAACATCAGAAGCAGTGACTGAAAGTAGTAGCTGTGTTTTGAATATTTTTGGAGTGTATAGAAGGAGTTTAGTAAAGAGTCAATATTATGAAAAAAGCAAGCTGGATCCCAGCGAGTAAGCTGTTCTATCTACTAGTTCGTGGTGTTCAGTAATTATTAGATTTTAAAAATACATTAAGTTCAAGCAACTTTTTCTTAATGTGCTAATGAAGAGTAAATTTGCTTGAAGTTAATTACAGACTTATTATTCCAGATATCACTAGTATAAACTTTATGCCTACATTTGAAACAAACCTTTATATGTTGGTATTATATGCCAACATAATCTTTCAGCTTTGCAGAATTTGCACTCATTTGCGAATTTATTCCTTCCTTTTCCTGATTTAGTCCAAAACTAAGACATTAGCCTAGGATAAATCTCAAATTGTATATATTTATTTGTTGATAAATTTTATCTGTAAATTCTCTAAGGGAAAATGTATATAAATTTTTATAAATTTTAATCGATGTATCCATGCATCCTAATATTTGAGAATTGACACTTATCTGTTCCCATTTCCATGCCCATTTAATTATTTATTTTTTATGCTACTTAATCAGAGAGCTGTAATATTTTGAATTGTTTCAGTCAATTTATACAACATTCATGTGACAGGGGCGTGTACGAATTCTTTCTTTAATAGTGAAGCTGTTCTCAGTCTCTCGTGCTGTCGCAGAAGTAATTGCTAGCTTGAATTTACTTGGTTTAATAGAGGCAGAAGTGAGGAAAACTGATGACACACTTGCAACACTAAATGCTCTGGAGCTCTTATTTGAGGTGCTTATATGATCTGATTTTACCCCACTCTTTTATATATATATGTTGTTATGCATGATATGCTTGATTTACAGAATGCATGTCACATATGTGCTTATGCAGCCACAACAACTGGTTGAGAAAAATTTCAAACTTATATGTAGTAACTTCTGTTTACACTTGACACCTAAAAGGGTTATGAACCTTTTTTTTTTCCCTCTACATGCCAACAGGATCAGGATTTTTTGCGTTGAAAAGCTTTATCTTAATTTTAGATTGTAGCCAATTGATACCGGATTCGTATTTTAAGCACATGCTGACCTAGAACAAGGCATTATTTTTCTAATGTAGCGACATAACTTATTGATTTCTTAGATTTAACTCTGACATTCAATTGTGTTTGTCTTTAAACCATCCCTTATCAGAGATTCATAGGTTGTTTCTGCTGTTATTATTAGATATTATTAAGTAGAAACCTTAAGTGGGAGGTGCAGCTTTGATTTGGTATTGAATAGAGGCATTTGTTTTACATATTGTATTTATACTTAGGAAGGGGCTATGCGATTGACTTAAATATAAAAGCTGTTTATCCTTTCAGATTCTCATATTGCAATTGTGTTTGGCACCTGTCCCTAATATGTGAAATACATCATAGAAAGCATCAATCCTTTGCATTTAAGATGGTTCAACTGTTCAAGTCCGGTTATCTACCCATGAACTTTTCCAATACAATGCTATTTGAGAGTATCCTTTTCTATTTAAAGGTTCTGTAGACTGTAGCTTCCTTGAAAGAAATCTGTCCATGGTCTTTACTCTTCCCTTCCATGGAAGGCAATAACTCCGCATTATTTTTTCAATGGATGGCAGTCAAAGAGAATATCCCAGCTAAATCTGCTCTTTAAGATGGAAGTTTTTACATTGCAAACCATTGGGTCCTTTCTCGTTGGTCCTTGTGTCCTTTCTCTTTGGCTCTCATCTATAGCCTTGTTTTGGTGAGTTGGTTCAGTCTTGTACTGTCAAAGATGTTCTAGTAGCTTGGGAAAAAGAATGAAGAAAGATTTATCTTGTTGAGGTGTGGAAGATTTGCTTGATTTTGAGAATTTTGTATAGCTTGAGAATTTCAAGTCACTGAGAAACACTCGGCGTTCCTTGATTTTGTAGATAAATTGCTTCATGGTAGCTTGAGGTCCTTCCCTCATTATGTATATGTGGTGACGGTATTGTGGCATCTTAAAGATGCAAAAGCACTCCCTTTATCATATTTTTGTATCATTTGTCATATAGTGCTGTAATTAACTTGCTGCTGGTAGTTAAGGTCAAGTAATGAATTTTATATCTTCACTTGAAGCTTCAGATTTTCTTCCCTGTAAATTACTGCTTGGAGCTTCTAATTTTCCTCTCATTTGTTACTAATTTTAAGTTCTTAGCAAAAGGTTCCCTCTTTTATTGATTTGTTCTTTTTGAATTTGATGTTTGAAGATAGCAGAAAGTGAACATGCATCAGAATTCTTACCCAAAACCAGTCTTCTTCAAATTCTTGGCAGTATTATAAGGTATTCACTAATCAGTGAGAGAGCTTTTTCTTTTTTATATAATTATTTTTAAAGTTTTATTAATTTTATTTTATACTACGTATATATTTTTTTCTTGTGTAACTTTACAGAAATGCTTCTTTGGAGTCAATGTTAAGATCAAGAGCAGTGGTGATCAGTGGAAGAATGCTTTCCAGAGAAAACATATTTACGTTCATTGATGAAACCAGTGAGGCTTCTTCCTGTTCCTTCATGAGTTTTTATTCAGTTGTGAATTGTGATGCTTATTTAAATGGTGACTACTTTCTATGCATGTGGAGAAGTGCAACATGTTGTATTGTTGTGTTCATGTCTAGAAATCTTTCAGGCATATGTTGGTAGGACATAACCCATGTGATTCAAATTCCAGCATCGTGATTCATAACTACCAGAAGTAAAAGAGGGTGGGAGAGAGATGCAGGCTGGTTTTCTTCAAGCATCTTCTTCTTACTGATTTTGTTTTTGCTTGTTCAGGTGCTCTTGCAATTTTGTCAGATATTATCGGGAGGCTCACTTCACCTGAAACCATAGATGACAATGAATGTGAATCAGCGATTGAAACAGTTGGTCTAATCGGCTCATGTAAGTAGCTTGTCAATTTTATTGTGGCTCGCATACTTGACAATTCAGCAATTATTTGGAATTAACTGTGCTTTGGTTTCGAAAGAATGATAAGACATTCAGATAAATATTTCTGTTGCGCGTGATTGACTTGTAGGCTTATATGAAACAGACTAATCAAGTAATCATTGCCTGGCCTATTTAGATTTTCCTTTCCATGCTGACTTGTAATTTGTATTTGATGAACAGCTCTGAAAATTGTTAATCAAAATAAATAAGATTGTTGAGCTGAGCTTGGGTTTATGTATGTATTGAGATTAGGCCATTGTAGAGCGTATCAGTGACAAACCAACTGGTATAAATAGCCACATCCATTATGTGGAATTGCGGGATTTGTGTTGAACCTAATAGTCTCTGCAATCAATATTAATCTCTGAAATTATTGCATTGAAATATATTATCTGGATTAGCAAACTGTTAAAAAAATGTTATGATTGATTATTGTTCATTCTGTGGTGACAATCCGAGCTTGAAGGATCCCCATTACTAAACCCTTCACACACACACATACATACATATTCTGTTCATATGACACAACTGGAAGGTTTGATATGGCCCCTACACTAAATTAAGATATTAACTTTATCTTATGGCTTATGTTTTCAGCTAAATCAGGAGCGGAGTTTTTACTCTTAAGATCTCTTGAAGCTGCAAGATTTCTTGGTCAAGCTGCTTTTGACAGGCATAAAGGTGGTAAGCAGCTGGTGAGCACTTCCAAAAAGTTGTGTTGTTACTAGAAGTTTTTTTTTTCTTCATTATGGATAGTTCATCAGAGATTAAATTGAAGTGGAATCTGTTTCCCTTGTTTTATGCTTAAATCTACATTTGTGCGGCAAGTAAAATTTTGTTAGAGAGATTTAGGAAAGTGGGCTTAGGAAAATGGAAAAGCATAAGTGATGTTCATTTTTTGGTCAATGAGTTCCAGTAAAAAATGTGTAAACTTTATTTACTTACTGTAGTTTCATGACTCTTGTCATTAATATAGGGGGTGCTTGCTTGACTTGTCAAAGTATCACTCCTCAGCATACGTCAAGATATAAACTAAAAATATTCCACTACTTGCTTAATGGCTGGACCATTGTTCATCATTGAATTAATTTCTTCTTGGATGCTCTCAGCTTTGAGACTCTTATTGTTGAGTGATCTGTCAGTTCTTTTTGTAAGAGTTATTGGTAATAGTTTTATATTGTCCAACACAGGCTGCACTTCATGCTTTTGGGGACATTGTTGGTGCTAGCAGATCTGAAGACAGAATATTGCTAAAAGGGGAAGCTGAAGAGATCCTTCGTCGCTTGATTTATGAAATCGCGTCCAAGACTTCAAAATTGACACCATCAGTAAGTTATCTCTTGAGCTTTTCTATATAAAAGAATATTCTGCTAGGTGCGTCCATGCTGGTAATTGAAACAAAGTTGTATGGGAAAAATTTTCGATTCTGCACTAAATATTCTATGCTCATATTCAGTTGTGTCCTTGTCTAATTGAAGGGTTTTTTTTTTTTCCTTGCAGGGGCTGTTCTTGTCAGTTCTCCAGCAAGATTCAGAAATGCGTTTGGCAGTAAGTGGAAAAATCTTCTTTTAGGTTCTTTACAATTATATTCCTTCGGAACCTACACATGCAATGCCTCAGCTACACTTGTATTTTAGTTAACATTAAATTCTGATTTACTATATTTATCCTGTTTTGTTTAGTCATTGAAGATGGTTTACCGTTTGCATTTTAGAATTAAAGCTGGAACTGAATCCACTTGTTGAGAACCAGGAAAAAAAAATTGTGAATAACCAGGCCTGTTAAAGGGGATTCATTTGCACTTTTACTCGTAGAAAATATGTACTATTTGATCTGATGAATGAATGACTTTTAAATTTAAAGCGACACCAAATGTACAATAGTTGAAGTTGCTTTTTTTCTTACTTAGTTACAACGGGAAATAAATACTATGTAATATACTATTTTATTGGAAATCAGTTCGTTCATTCTCTTTTTCTTAGCACACTTTTATTTAAAAAGACAAAGACCTCATAAGTAGTGCTGAAGGAAGGCTGGGTATTAAAATGGGAAAGGGGAAATTCAAGTTTACAAGGGAATCACTTTGGTTGGAGACCATTCTGATTGCTATAATTACTTTCATTTCATGGTTTATCTGCTCAACTTCTGCATATCAAGTTTATATGCTCCTATTTTGCTTTGATTCTGTTTGCCCTTGATTTGATTGTTCTGCCTTCTTTTCAGGGTTATAGGTTGATATCCAGTTTGGTGGGTCGTCAATGGTGCTTGATGGAAGTCTGCTCAAGGCAAGAGATCATAAGTATTGTTACTGATGCTTACATGGAAACCACTAAAATAGGTTTGTTCAGCTCATAGTATATTCAGCCTTTTCTTCTTTTCTCTCTCTTTTTTAAACGTTTTCATCTTTTTTGCTCCTAAATGATCTGCAATAAGATAAGCATCAGGTCTTATTCGATCTGGCTCTAATTGTAGTTTGATTAGGTCTCAAATCTCTGGTTATCCTGAAAGAGCTCTCATGTAATACCCCCCTTGTCATCCTAGCTCTTAATTCAGGCTGTTATCATGGTTTTCCTTATCTTTATGGTTGGGCGATTATTTTTTCACAATTTCCTCGGTTGTGCCTACATTGACATGATGGTGCTCAACAATACACATTAGTAGAACCTGTGATTTTAAAGGAATACTTCACTTAACAAGGTGGTTAGCCTCCAAGTAGCTAATGTATATTCTTTAGAGTAGCCCCTAATTACTGAGATCATTTGATTGGAAGTTGTATGTATAAGAAAATCTCTAAAAGCCAGTTTGGCTAATTCCCGGTATCTGGGGTTGAGGTTGGGTATCAAGTTTATGGGATGCTCATACCAGATTCCAGTTGTTTGGTTGATATGAAAAATCATACATGCTCACTGCAGTCATATCTGATTCAAGGGGTGATGAACCTGCTGCTGCTGCTGCTGGTGGTAAGTGTATTTATGGTGGTTAGAGGAGGTGATGAGAGTTGTGGCCTGTGCATGTGAATTGTAAATCTTGGCTCTATAGGTAAGGCTTTGCTTAAACCGACCTTCCCCAGGTTTGAGGTATGTAGTTTGAATTCTGAGTGGGAGCAGGACAGAATTAAGGAGGATTGGGGTATTCATTTAGGGTGTTATATATTGATTACTAACCCATACCTGATTTCAGAATTGAGTAAATCACATGCCCCCTATGTTCCATTAAGCCAGAAATTATATGCATCCAAGCTCTTTGTATTGTGGAGTGATCAGTGCATTGTGCCTTTGCCTTGCCTGGTTGGTTTTCAAGCAGTGCATTGTGCCTTTGCCTTGCCTTGCCTGATTGGTTGTCAAGAAATGTTCTTAAGAAGCATCTACACTAACCACAAAGCATTTGTGATTCATTGTTGCTTAGCAGCTATGGGATTGTCGTCATTCAGCTCACCATCAATATTATCACCTTCTTTATCATCATTACTATTACCGTCATCATCTAGACATCAAATTTTTCTCTTTTTTTTTTTTTTGCAGGCATGGAGGCTAAATATAACTGCTGCTTCGCAATTCAGAAGGCTCTTGCTAATACAAACCCTAAGAGTGATTCTGCACTTGCTGCTATATCTAGGAAGGTATTATATTTGACACCTTATTAATTTGTATGCATGTACTGAGATTCCACCCTCCACTTTAAGGTGTCCATATCTTCCCCATCGAACTTTCCTCTGTGTCTCAAGGATCTTTTATCTCCCCACTTGCATAACCACCCTCATCAATAAATAGTTTCAATTATATTGTATCATCATGTACAGAGTAATATGCAATTAGATGAAACTATTTCTTTTCCAAATTTTTGTTTCCTATTACTATTAGGCTATTAGGACAACCTAATGGGGCTAACATCTACCTTCTTTCCTAATTCCTTTCCTTTTTACCTGTTGAGCTAAATGGCCCTTTACAGATACTGTATTAAAATCATGATGGATGTCAACCAATACCGTTGTCAATTTGCATGTTTCATGGTTGACACATCAGCTCTAGAAAAATGCAGTTACTGTCTCCGTAGCTCTTATATTTGCCAATCTATGAAGTTGGCTTAATGCTACCAACACCAAACTAATACTTTGTACATGGATGTTCTCTTAGAACAGAGTTCTAGGGTGGCTGTGCTATTTAGTTATGAAAATTCTAATGTAGTCTTATGACTTTTGACTATCATAATTTATTAAGATGGACGGCGGAGATTATTTGTTTTTTGATTTATTTTTAATTTTAATTTTAATTAAAATTAATTTTCTAATTTTTTATGTATTTTTTTTATTTCCATTCGAAAATATTAAAGAATAATTTTTGAAAGATAAAATTATATATTTAAAATAATTAAAAAAATTATTTTTAATTAAAATTACAAATTAAAAATAATAAAAAAACAAACAATCTGAACCGTCCATTTTAAAAATTCTGGTAGTCAAAAGTTATAAGACTACCTTAGAATAATCAATTTAGTTAAGGATAAAGTTGCATGAAAATCTTACAGAGCTTTAGGTTGTAATTCTTGTAAATAATAGTAAAATATATACGAAGTTTTTATTTATTTATTTAATGTAAGTGGGTAATGTCTGGACTAATTACTCATTCTTGTGGACTCTTGTATTGTTTTCTGTTTTTTTTTTTTTACCAGCTGCAGGAAGCTGTTAAACGGGGTCCTTTCCTGGCAGAAAAGAATCGTGATGCACAACCAACTGTTACTACTGATCAAAGATTTTAGATTTCTATCACTACATAGGAGGTGCTTGTTATGACTTCATTTATGCAGCAACAAAATGAAGTCATAGGAGAGGGTTTGTAATAAAAAGAGAATTAATGTTTGGGAAATTCTCTTTGGTAAAACTATAGTTTTTATTTTTCTCAGTGGTAAATTGTAAAATTTTTTATGATTCTTGATAAACTTCAATTAGTTATAATTTTTCAATGGTAAACTTAATGAAAAATTTTAGTTAACTCTCAACCATGGTTAACATTTTTTAAAAATAAAAAAAAATTAAAATTTCTAAAATATCCTCACTTAGTACACTTAAAACACTCAAATTCCTGAATTGCCTTCAATCATCAAGATCATCATCTTCATTCTCCCTTCTTTCTTCCTCCTCACCTTTCTCAATCGTACCCAATTGCCACCTTCGCTAAAAGCCAGTTACCTTTCCCTGCCCCCACCACGCCGGGCCCACGCCCAACCTTTCCCTCACCGTGCGTCGGCCTCCTTTACCCTTGCCGCATCACTTAAAACACTCAAATTCCTAAATTGCCCTCAATCATCAAGATCATCATCTTCATCCTCCCTTCTTTCTTCCTTCTCACCTTTCTCAATCGTACCCAATTGCCACCTTCGCTAAAAGCCATCTACCTTTCTTCCCTCACCGTGCGTCGGCCTCCTTTACCCTTGCCGCATCTCTCCTTCCCCTTGAACCACCACCGTACCCCCTCCCCAAACAATCCCTCAAATCCTTGATCAATCTTGTTTTGGGTGTTTAAGTCCCTCGGGAGAGTTACGTCACAAAGTCTAGTCCGACGTGAGCTGTACTTGCAAAATAACGGAGACTCTGGGTGGTTGGAGCTCCGCCTCCGATGGTCAAGTTAGTAATTTGAATAGGAGTAAAAAGGTGCGGAAATTTAGGAGGGGATATGCTCGGATTCCAAGCTCGAGATGTCTCTATCAAAGAGTAAAGGTGTGTAATAAATGGTATAACGTGTCTCCAAAAGGAGGAAATCTCCCTATTTATAGGGTCCTCGGGAATTGTTCCCATGATTAGGTCATCAAGCCCTAATCATTGGTGGGCTACGCCGCATTGCGAATTTATCGGGATTTGGGCCATGAAGGCCGCCTTTTTCCCATTTCCTTGGGAGGACACGTGTCAAACATTGATTGGTCCTATATGGACTAACCCTAAGGTGACACGTGTCACTCTTTGACTGGACCACGTGTCAGGGTAAAATTACCCCAAACATTTGCCCCTCACAGATGTGACGTGACATCTGACGTGGCATTTGTGACAGGTGTCACTCTTCCATTGGGGGTGATTTTACCGCCAATTTTTTTACTGTTCACCTTATGCGGAAATTACGGGGGTACCCCTGAATTTACCCCCTATATGTAGCCGTTTACCCTCACTTTTTGTACGTTTTACAAAAATTTAAGAGAGATAAACTTTTTTAGAGAGAGAGTCTGCTTTCACGTCTGAGTCAAGCGCAAGCAATCAAGCTCGTTTCCGCCTGCCCCAGACGATTCCGCCTAACCTTCAGTCATCAACTTTTTAAAGATACCGCCTCTGTCTCTCTCAGCTCTTTTCCTTTCCCGCTTGTATATACTCTTTGCAATAAATGGAGGCATCACCAAAACACACGGCACGCTTAGGTTAGAGTCCAACCGGTCACTTGGTACGGCTGAGTCTAGGACTGGGAGTGCCGCCTCGGGGTGTTGGGACCACCCTTATGCTTGGAATCCGACCGTCTATGTGTCTGTGCAGGATACAATGGCTCGGACAATGCAGACGGCATGAGATCCCAATTATAGGAGCGAGGGCTCAGGCGGGCAACCGCATGAGGGGGAGACGTCAGGTAGGGAAAACCAGACGGCTGCTGAGAGGTCTCCCCCGGGTGCCCCCTCAACCCCTAGGGATTCATTCCTTGATGAGTGCGATCAGGGAGACGGTGAGGAGGCCGTCTCTATGTCGTGCTCGCAAGATGAGCACTCATCCGGGGAAAGCTCCGCCTCTAGCTCCGAGAGCAGTGACGAGCCTATGTCAACGCTTGAAGATAGTGAGGTGGAGGAGAGGAAAAAATGGAGTGAGAAGGATGATCCCTTCCAAATCCACGTCTCTGCCAAAGATAGGGCAAACATGGATAGAGACTTGGAGAACTTCAAGCTCATGCGCCCCCTAGCCGGCAATTATACCATCCGGGTTCCTCTTGCAGATGGAACCGTCTCTTGGAAAGACGACGAGAGGAACGCCAACGCCTACGCCTACTTTGGGTGTTATGAGGCGGTGTTCCTGGTTGGGCTCAGATATCCACTTCACGGGGCGTTGAAGGCAATTTTGAGAGGCTATGACCTGGAAGTCTGGCAACTTACCCCCCAATTTTTGGGCTAACATTCTGGGGTACGTTGCCGCCTGTGAGTTCCAAGGGATGCATCCCGGCTGGGAGGCCTTTGCCCACATGCATTACTTAAGTCGAAACCCAGGCGGCTGGAGGGCGTGGTATACACTGACCACCTTCCCTCAGTATATGATGACCTTGGACAAGGTGTCCAAGTTCGACGGCTGGAAGCACCGCTTCTACTTGCTTTCTGCGCCCAACCAGCGTGAAAATTTTGAACTGCGCCGGTACAATAAGAAGCCCGACCTTCTGGGTCGGAAGTGTTGTCTTCCTCGGATTCCAGAAGAAGATTACGACAAAATAATTGAGACCAACTTTTTTGGTCTTGAAGATGCTACCCTGTCAACCGGGGAAAAAATAAAGGTTCCAAAGAACTGGATTCCAAAAAGCGCCTGGTTCAGAGACGAGGCCTTTTCATCCTCCTGTGGGCTCAGCACAATGTTCACCAAACGTATGTGCCTGACCTTAAGACCGTCTAGGGTACTTTCATGCCGAATTTGGCAATTACTAATGTTTTTCGTTCTTTTTTGCAGAGGAAGCTTTAGCCATGCTCCCAGACGAGAAAACACCCAAAAGGTCCTCCGCCGCCATCCGTCGAGACCTGGCGGAAAAGCAGGCGGCAGCTATCAGGGCCAAGGTAAGACGCCTGACCCCTTTTTCCTTAACTTCACAAGTTTAATCTCCGGATGCATAACTAACTTGCATCCACTTTGAAGGGAGGCGAAATCCCAAAAACGTTTGAGAAGACTCTCAAACGGGCCACGGATGACTCCGCCTCTACCCCCTCCAAGAAAAATACTGGCTCCTCCCAGACTCCTGGAGCCAGAGCCGGGAAAACCGTAATGCGCCTTGAGGGCAGGATGACGGAGGTAGACGGCGATTTTGGCTTGGATCTCGTCAACCCCTTGTCCGTTGGAAGAGGGGTTACAGCGGCTGCAGGCGGTCTCGCCAGGCCGTCTCTGAAGGTAAGGCTAACCCATTTGAGTCCCCACCTAAGTTGGGGTGGCCTTTGCGAGTGAAATCCCACTCCCAACAGACTTCTTCCTCATACGGTCGGCAATAGATTTGTGCCGCCTATATTTCGCACTCATCAAGTGTTGATTGTGGTGTAGATGTCTCTCCCTGCTGGCCAAACGTCCAGAAGCATGCCAAGGCCATGCTTCACGCCGTCCGGAAGAGGGACAAAGAAAACATCCCTGGGATAGAGACGTTCAATCTAGAACCCATTCTATCCCTTCTGGCTGAGGTAAGGTGTAAGTAAATAACAAGTGAACTTCAAGTATTATCCCGCTTGCATATCTAACCTCATTCCTTCTATGCAGGCTCTGTTGCGGGTAGACGGTCTCAAACGTCCATACTCCCGATAAAGAGAGCCAACAAATCAGCCAGTGACACTGAAAACGTTGCTCTATACTCTTGTACAATAAATGAACTTGAGACTAAAGCCACAATGATGACGCAAGCGTCGAAGATTGATCAGCTAGAGAAGGACCTGAAGGCGTTCAAGCAGAAAGCCGGGGATGCTGAGACGACGCTTAAAAAGGCCAGAGAGGAGCTTGACAAAACCAAGACGGAGATGGACTCTCTAAAGGGGATCTCCCAAGAGAATAACAACCTCAAGGCCAAAGTCAAGGGGCTGGAGGAGGCGGCGGCCTAGGCGCAGCTAAACTTTAAAGCAACTTTGGAGGCGGAACAAGACCGCCTAGTTGCTGAGAGTGAGGCTGAAAACGACACCCGAATGAAGATTGCATGGAACGCCTTGTATCCAAACAAGGAGTATGGCATCTGGGCACTGGCTCACAAATACGCAGAGGAAGTTGTATATTTGAGGGAGAAGGGCGAGCCAGAGCCGGATTCGTTCAAAGCCTGGGCGCAAGCTGAGCTTCCAGAACCTGGTCACCTCGTCCCGAACCAGGTGCACGAGGTTCCTTCTGACGAGGAGGCTGAGGATGAGGGGGGCGATGACCAGGTGGACCCGTCTGCAGCTCAACAGTGACTTTCTGCGGCAGTATGCCATTTTTTTTTATTTTCTTATTCAACGGCTGTATGCCAAATTACTTTCTTTCCGGCCTGCGTGCCGAGTATTAGTTGTCTTTACCGGCTTAATTGAATATTTGTTTCACTTCCCGGACGGGGTCCGGTTAACAATGTTCTACCACAACCGTTTGGTTGGGTAGTTCTTTAATGAATTCGGCTGAGTCGGTTTTGATCATTTTGCGCTTGAATTTTGCATTTTTAATTTTGCATTTTTAATTTTGCATTTTACCTAACTTAAGAAAAGCATGCGGCAACAGATATTCTGGCTGCACTTGTCCCTGGACGGCTGTGTGGTTGGTTTCACCTTTAAATCGATTGATTGACTTGGAAACGTCTGATGCTTTAAAGAGCATGATATGTTTGCAAGTCAATCAATCACAACAGTGATTGCCCCAAACCAAGTGCACAACCGCTCATGTGACAGGCGCTGAGGATCAAACTGAAAAAGGCCTGATCAAGCATGAGACGAGGTGAAGGTTACACCCCTTAACGATCCAGGAGATAGAGCAAAAGAGTCGCCAACAAGTTTTTAGGAACTTGTAAACCGTTCACGAGGTGAAGGTTACACCCCTTAACGATCCAGGAGATCGTCAACTCCATAAGGTCTTGAACCAAATAGGGTTCGGGGATGAAGGTACAAATCCAACCTTAAAGAGATTGAACCTGCCCTAATAATAGGCCTCTACTTTATTCTGATTGTATTCATGTGCGCTTTCTGACTAACATGCAATCAATGAGATTAAACCTAAACCTGTTTATCTATGTTGGTTGAATATTAATGCACAAATATAT